TACATAGCGGCCTCCACCGCTTCGACTCAGGCGCTCTGGCTTGCTCGACTGCTTGGTGATCTCCTCGGCAGAGACACTAGAGCGGTGGAGCTCAGGGTGGACAGCAAGTCCGCTCTGGCCCTGGCAAAGAACCCCATTTTCCATGAACGCAGCAAGCAAATCCGGGTGAGGTACCACTTCATCCGAGGCTGTTTGGAGGAAGGGAGCATCAAGGCGAGCTACATCAACACCAAGGACCAACTTGCGGACCTGCTCACCAAGCCCCTTGGGAGGATCAAGTTCCTTGAGCTCTGCTTCAGGACGAGGATGGTTCAACTTTCCCACAAAACGACGCACAAGACTTAGGGGGAGAATGATGGGATAAGTCTCATGTCTTTGGTCTTTGTGGGGTCATCTTTGGTCACATGGTTTTTGTGGTCGCATGGTGCTTTAGGACAACATCTTAGACTAGAGGACATGACATCTTAGCATCTAGGACAAGCATCTTAGCATCTAGGACATCATCTTAGACTAGCATCTTGATATGCTTTATGGCTAGCTAGACCTAAAAATATACCCGCAACCCTTCAAAGTTGGCATGGCATTGAGAAATAAAACGTAAAATTGCCCCAACTCCTAGTGTCATCCTCTCTTAATGAGAGTAAGAATTTGCCATCGCCAAGAGTAAGAATTGACGACTAACATGCCCCCCCCCGCTTCAAGATATGTCTTGCCACCACCAAAGACCTCATGGTTCCACTGGCGGCCCATCTGGAGGTTCACAACAGCAGCAGCCTGCTGGTTCGCAGTAGCAACAGCAGCCACCTGCTGGTCCTGCCCCTCCGGTTCTTCCTTCGGGCGTTGTGCATGCTCCACCGGTCCAAAATCAACATTCTATGACTACTTGGGGCAAGCACGGCTTCCGGGTACCAGCTATCATGTGGCGCCATTGTCCCCTGTGCCGTGGACATAACGTGCTGCTCTTGCCAAGCCAAATCGGAGGGCTGCCATGGAGGAAGAACATGCTACACTTCTATAGAACAGTACCTGGGATCTTGTTCATGGACTGGCTCAGGCCAATGTTGTCACCGGCAAGTGGATTTTCAAGCACAAATTTCAGGTTGATGGTTCCCTTGAGCGGTACAAGGCTCGATGTGTCCTCCGTTGTGTGAATGGGTCCTCCGCAGTTTCACACAGCGCGGGCGTGGCCTTCTCTGAGACCTTCAGCCTAGTTGTCAAGCCAGCAACAGTCCGCACAGTTTTGTCCCTTGCGCTACCTAGGCATTGGCCCATTCATCAGTTGGATGTGAAGCATGCCTTCCTTCATGGCCTGGTTTTGATGATCCTGCACATCCTGACTTTGTCTGTCGACTCAACCGCTCACTATATGGTCTCAAGCAGGCTCCTCGTGCTTGGTACAGCCGTTTTGCAGCATACTTACTGTCCCTGGGTTTTGTGGAAACTAAGTCTGACACGTCATTGTTTGTCTATCATCGAGGATCTGAGGTGGTCTACTCGCTCCTCTATGTGGATGACATTATGCTTACAGCTTGCTCCCCAACTCTACTTCGGCGCACTATTCTGTCCCTACAGCAAAAACTTTCAATGAAAGATTTAGGCGAGCTCCACCACTTTCTTGGCATGCAAGTTTAGAAGTGCTCAGGTGGTCTCCTACTTTCTCAGAGATAGTACGTCTTGGAGATATTGGCTTGGCACATGCAGGCATGACAGACTGCAAGCTGTGTAGCTCTCCAGTTGATATTCATCCTAAGTTGTCGACCACTGCTGGTTCACCTGTTGAGGATCCTACTGACTTCTGAAGTCTAGCTGGAGGAGCCTTACAGTACCTCACCTTCACGTGGCCTGACATCTCCTACGTTGTTCAGCAAGTCTGCCTTCATATGCATGATCCTCAAAGTCCTTACCTTGCAGCCCTCAAACGCATTCTGCGCTACCTTTGGGGCACCTTGGACTTAGGCCTTTTCCTTCACCCCACGTCCCAGTCAGATCTTGTGGCATATTCAGATGCTGACTTGGCAGGCTGTCCGAGCACTCGTAAACCACTTCGGGTTATGCAGTCTTGCTTGGTGACAACCTCGTCTCCTGGTCGTCGAAATGTCAGGCCACCATGTCTCGTTCCAGTGCTGAAGCCAAATATCGCGTTGTGGCCAATGCTGTTGCAGAAGCCACCTGGCTGCGACAGCTCCTACTGGAACTTCACACTCCCCTCCGCCGTGCCACGTTGGTCTACTGTGACAACATCAGCGTTGTTTACATGTCCAGCAATCTAGTTCAACACCAGCATACCAAGCATATTGAGATTGATCTCCATTTTGTTCGTGAACATGTGGCTGTTGGCGACGTCCGTGTTATGCAGGTTCCATCTTCCCTACAGTATGCCGACATTTTCACCAAAGGGTTGCTTGCCATCTTCTGTGTTCACCGAATTCAGATCTAGTCTCAACATCCGAGGAACCAGTGTTTCAACTGCGGGGGCGTGTTAGACAACGTGTCTTAGTTGGCCAGGCTATGTGCCTCGGACTCGAAGTCCAGCACGTATGGTAGATTGACTTGTATTTGGTAAGGAACATTGGAGGATGGCTCTGATTCTATAAGCCCCTGTCCCTATATATACCATGTATCTCTCTAATCAATCTACTAATTCTTGCCATATACTCTGCTTTCAAGATCAAAGCAATACACAAGAAACGCAAAGGTTTCTTTTGGAAAGGACAGGAGCAAACCAATGGAGGCAATTGTCCTGTATCTTGGGAAAAAGCAAAAAACCCACTGCAGTATGGATGTCTGGATTGGGCTCTGCGTCCATGTTGGTTACACGTTGGTTATGGGCTCTGCCAATCCAAGTGCCACAAAATGCATGGGCTCCGTTCAATTTTGCCATGGAATCTATTGTTGGAAATGGGGAATCAAGTTGGTTCTGGTCTGATTGGTGGCTGCAGGGTAAAACCATGGCCGAGTTTGGCCCCAACTTATACAGATTGGTACCCAGAAAAGATGTCAATACACAGACTGGCTCAGGCCCACCACAACCGAAGCTGTGTGTAAGATAACTGCGCTAGTTTTAGTGGGATACCTGCAAGTTTGAGATTTCTTGGGACAGATTGGTTCTGCAGAATCAACACCATTAGGCGCCCCACCCAGTCTTACAGCAGCAAATCAGTCTATGCTGCTTTTCTTTCTGGGAACCAACATGTTTGCCCCTTGGAAGAGTTGGGCACACCTGCACTGTAAATTTTTTGTTTGCTTAGCCATATACAGCCAGTGTTGCACAGCCAACCACCTTGCCAAACGAGGGCTGTCGGCTGCCCCATCCATCTGCTTGTCCATTCTGTGATCAAGTGGAGACAATACAACACATCCTTATTCCTGCATGTTCACCCGTCAGGTCTGATTCTTGATTTTTCAGAGATTAAACTTGGTCGTTCTTGCACCTCCAATCTCCTCAACATGCTTCTCTAGTTGGTGGGGAAACACCATTGGTCTGCCCCAAAGGAGATGTGCAAAGGGCTCAATTATCAGGTCATCCTTGTGGTTAGGTAAGCCTGTGTTTGGGGGAGCTTTGCCAAACATACATACTCCCTTGCAGTAGGTGACTGATGAGCGTAGCTTATGGTGCTTGGAAATCGTCTCTGTCCATGACCAAGGTCTCCAAGTTGGCTTGGCCCGTGCTCTTTGGTCGTCTTTTTTCTATGCTAGTGGCACGTCTGTAACCTTATGTGTTGGATCTGTGTGGTGTGTGTTCAGGTGGTACTGCTCTAGCCCCACCCTTTTGTACATTTTCTCTATTAGGCCCCCTTTGGAACGCGAGATTTTCCCCGTTCCTGCGTTTTTCCTATGAAAAATGAACTGAATCCTGTGAAATTCCTGCGTTCCAAAGGGGCCATGAATAAAGGGTTATTTTGATTGCTACCATTGCAATTTGCCAAGTTTGGAGAACTACCACTGCTATTCACCTATTTTGAAACGTACCATTACAATTCTATGATTCTTTGAAATACGCCATGGTGTACGCTTAGCAAGAACTCAGGCCCACCTGCAGACCTATTCGGCCACCAAGTATTTGCCCATGGTCTTCTTCTTCTTCCTCCCTTTCTTCCTCACCTGGTCCCTCCATGGCCGCCGCCCTCCGTGAGCTTCCCCGCCACGGCCACCCTCCACAGCCTCCCCCGCCTCGCGGACACGGCGGAGGCCGACTGGCCGAGCTACGGGCGAGCTTCACATTAGAACGACTGCGGTGGGGCCGGACGTGAGCCTTGGCCGGTGAGCTGGCACGGAGGAGCTCGGCCAGAAGACCAGCTCGACCAGCGCGAAGGAGCTCGTCAAGCACTCAGCGGCGGCACGCATGCGGGAGCACAGCAGGCGACCAGCGGCGGATCGCGCTCGGCGACCAGCGGCGGATCGCGCTCGGGTCGTAGCCAGCGATGAGCAGCGGCCCACCCGCGTACGGGAGCTGGGCTGGCCACGACGGCATGGGAAGTTGGGGAAGAAGCTGTTGTGGAGAAGAAGATGTGGAAGGAAGGAGATCACAAGGGGGGTCCACACGTCAGTGGCATATAGAGAGAGAAGGTAGAGGGGCAGTTTTGTCTATACGAAAATAGAATGACGTCATGTATGCCTACAGGTGGGCCCGAGTCATTCCCAAGCGCATATCGTGACGTATTTCAAACAATCAAAGAATTGTAATGGTCCATTTCAAAATAGGTGAATAGTAATGGTAGTTTCAAAACTCTAAAAATTATAATGGTACCAATCCGAATAACCCAATAAAATAAAATGACATGCAACTCTCCTGCATCGTTCAAGAAAAAGGTACATCATGTGAGGAGTTAATTAAGAACCTTCATTTCCGTCCAAACTAACTGATCCACGGCTAAATAGAGAGCAAAGAAGTCGACCTAAAGAACCAAAGTTTGTCCCCCTTCTTGAACTGATATTAGATAGTGGAGCAAAGCATCCAAGCACTATCCAAGAACATGGATGGAGGGGAAGCGGTGGCTTACGGTTAAGCTGGAGCCTTTCAGATTCGACGCCGCCCCAGACCATGGCGCCGAGGCGGCCGTTCCCGATCGGCGCCGCGTCGGTGAAGTACTTCGCCGGGGAGCCGAAGACCACCTTGAGCGGCCGCGCCTCTTCATCCGCCGGCCACCCGGCCGCCGCGGCAACGGCCTCCGCCTCCGACGGGCGACGTACCCAGACCCACTCGACGCCGGCGTCGGAGCCGCAATCGCTGTCACTGTTCATGGGTGGGGCCGAGGAGTACAGCTAGAAGCCTAGAACCAGGTAGCGTATCTGACGAGCAAAGCAGCCCGTGTCCAGATAAGCGCGAGGCAGGGATGGCAAACGGCGGATTCGTCTCGGGCGGAGTCTCCTTATCGGAACCCCCAGTGAACTCAGTGGGTATTTGGTTCCGCTACCCTGTTGGGCTGAAAAAAAAAGATTAATGCTGATATTAATTTATTGTAAGAGAAAAATATTATTATTTTACTAAAAACGTACTGCTGATATAAATGTTCATTCGGGCCATCCAGCCCGGCCCGACATGGGCCCGTGCTAGGCACGACACGGTAGAGCACGACAGGGCGTCGGGCCGTGCCTCCCCAGTCCACCGTGCCTGGCCAACGGCCCAGCCACAGCCCGTCGAGCCACTTTCCGTGCCGGGCTGGCCCAGAAAGCACGCCCTTTTTAGCAAGCCAGGCCGCCCCGACGCCCGCATCAGCAGGGGAAGGGAGAGAAGACGGAGGACAAGGTCGAGGCGCTGTCCTGCGGGGTGGCGCTCGAGGCGACGACGTGGAGGAGGACGCGGAGGCAATGATGGCATCGAGGCACATGACCACGTGGAGGAGGCCGGAGAGGCGATGCAGAGGCGTGATGACGAGGCGATGCAGAGGCACCGAGCATGGTCGGCGGCGACCTCAGATCGGCCGCGTGCTCCAGCGGCGGTGGCGGCCTCAGATCGGCTGCTTGAGGCTGCCGCGCTCGAGGCCGACGCCTGCGCCGCGGCCGCGTGGGGAGGCGAGGAGGAGGTAGTCGCCGGGGCTGGGAGCGGCGGAGCTCCGGGATCTCGGGGGCAGGGAGGGAGGTCGTCGTACCTACGCCGGATCTGAGCAGAGGAGGCACGACAAGGGAGCCCGCCGTGCACCGAGGATGAGGGAGAGAGGGAGGCCACCGGATCTGAGCTGAGGGAGGGAGAGGGAGAGGGAGAGGGAGAGAGATCCGCACGCGGAGGGAGAGATGGAGGACGGAGGAGGGAGGGAGGGCGCCGCCTGGCCTCGCCGACATCGAGGGAGGAGGCCACGTCTGTGGTGCTCCGACTTGATGGTGGGGCAAGGAAGGAGGAAGAGGAGGCGGCGACACGAGCCAGCACGGAGTAAGACGAACGGCGACGGCGTTGGCTCGGGGAAGACCTCACGACGGCTCGAGGAGACGAGGAGCGGCGAGGCTCTCGACGGCGACGGCGTTCCTCGGGTAAGGGGAGGGGCGGCCATCGCGAGGCGCAACGCGAGGAAAGAGAGGGGGCGTCCACGAGGGAAGAGGAGGGGGCCGGGTCGGCGGCCGTCGTGAGGCGCGACGCGAGGGAGTGCGCTTATATATGAGGAGGGGGAGGCGGGGACGGTGGGCCAGCCACGCTAGGCCGTGGCGCCGCGCTGGGCCTTGGGGAGGGGAGGATGAGTGAGGAGGGGGAGGGGAGGGGGAGGCCGGGCCGCTGCCAGGCCGACCGACTCAGGCCGAGCCATGCCGTGCTAGCCCACGGGGCTGAGCAGCGGCCTAGCCACGGCCTGCTCCCTCGGGCCGGGCCAGCCCGGGCCCGCACGTCACCGGGCTGGGCCGTGTTCGTGTCGGGCTAGAAAAGCGGGCTTCGTGCCGTGCCATCGTGCCTCGGGCTGCATGGACATTTATAACGGCTGATAAGTTCAAACGAACAAGAAATTTAGTCCCTGTCACATTGAATATTTAGACACATGCATGGAGTATTAAACGTAGATTAATTACAAAACCAATTGCTCAGATTGAGACTAATTTACGAGACGCATGTATTAAGCCTAATTAGACTCATATTTAATCTTTCTAATTAGTACCTAAATACCTGATGTGACATCTACTAAACTTTTTTTTAACGAAGAAATGATTTTATTAGCTACCCCAGGCGAATTATAATCGGTACTCAGGATGGACCAAACCCTCGTCTAGCTAATAAAACTAATTCATTAGCAACTTAATTGCATTCTCTCTTTACTTGGGAGCCTCCGATCTGTCTCTTGCCTTGTCGCTCCTCTTGCCTCCTCTATGATTGGGGCAACCTCCGACCTGTCCGTCGCTCCTCTTGCCTCCTCTATGATTGGGCCAACCTCCGACCTGTCCATGACTCTTGAGGGAAGAAATAATTCTTGCGCAGTCTGATTCAATAATTATCTGTGATAATCCCCAATGATGTACCCAACATAAGCCTTCAATGCACGCAAGGGCCTCTGCCTCCAGCGCACTGCTGCATTTTCTAACAAATTTCCAAGTCTTAAAGATCAATGAGTTAAATGCATGAGCGTTCCCTAAACTTATCATAGGGTGCCACTTAGGTCTATGAATTTAAAAAATGCATTTCTAAGACACTAAAGTTGATAAGTGGTGCAACGTATATCTATATCGGACACGTGGACAATTTATCCAACATGGCATTGCCATTGTGGCGCTGACGATGTCTAGCACTTTGCATTTAACCCATCATTTATTTATTTATTTATTTATTTTTCTCTCCCTCTTCTTTCTTCTCTTTGAGACTTGAAACCTACCGATGCAAATGGTCGTCACCGCCACAACCTCCGACCTCACTGTTGTAGTTGTTGCCTCCTCCAGCGGCCCCATCGGCAACCTCCTTCCCCACTGACACCTCTATCCTAGGCAGCCCTTCTGCGAAACCCATCTACAGCCGCTCCGTCGAGTCGAAGATCCTCGACTCGGAGCAGCAGCGGGATCAGCCCAGCACCGGTGCAGCGTGCTCGTCGGTCGACCACCGGTGGGACACCGAGCTCGTCAACGAGCTTGCCAAGTGCGACCTCAAGTTCCAGTCTTCAAGCTTATCGTGCAGGCGTCGTGCGGCGATAGGGCTTGAAGGAGAAGTACGTCAGGCCCATCGTGCTCTTTTACGCGAACAAGTGGGTGCTCTCCAAACAAGACGCACAAGTCCTGTGCGACCACGGACGAGGGCATTGACCCACAGAACCCGGAGGCGACGCTTCTCGCCCTCGACGACGCTGCGGAGGAGAGGGAGTGGGGGAGCGTCCATGCGGAGGTTGGGACCATGGTTAGCGCCCTATCTGCCACGCTGGGTTCGCTACGCGACGTTGTCGCCCCAGTTGGCCAAGTATGAGACGGTCATGCTTGCGACGCTCATTTTCCCTTTCCGCGCTTCTAAGACTTGTTCTCTGCGTAGGTCCTTATGGGTCGCAGCCGAGAGAAGTCCTGGTTCCTTCGTCGTGAGAGGGGTGTTTGGAACCGCCTTGCCGGGGAGGCGCGGTGGAATGAGGAGCTGGCCGCATAGCTCGTTGCCGCCCGCTAGGAGGTGGCAGAGCTTGCTCCCGCCGCCCAGGAGCTGGCCGACCTCTGGGTCAGGGAGAAGGACGCCCGCGATGATGCCCGTGAGGCTGAGGAAAAACTCATGGCGCTGATCGAGAGGGAGCGTGTGGACGCCACGGAGGCCGAGCGGCTACGAAAGGAGCGGGAGGACCTGCTTCGGACCGTAGAGGAGCTCCACACGGAGTGTGGCTTGGCCCGCCAAGAGCACGCCGACTCCCAGCAGCGGATCGTCCTCCTTGAGGGTGAGCTTTAGGGGGAGAAGGACCTGAAGGTCGCGGCCGAGGGCGTGTCTACTTGGCTCGCCGCGGAGGTCGGTCAGCGCCAGGAAGAGGTCTGGTGCCTGGAGACCAAGGTGACCCAACAGCGCAGCAAGGTGCACGAGCTCTGGGCGGACGTGGATGGTAAGCTTTAGGTTTCTCCTGCTGTCTTTCTCTCTAGAATCTGTGGTGGGCCCTTTGACACGGTCGGCGTGTGATTTGGGCAGGTCTCGACAACAGGCTTGGTGTGGAGGTAGCGAAGAGCCGTGGCTTGGAGAGGGAGCTCGGCGAGGTGAAGGCCTCCCTCCTAAAGGAGAGCGACGAGCATGACACCTTGCACATCGCCGTCCAACTGGTTTGTGACGACCTCGAGCTAGCCCCGGTGCAGGAGATGAGCTCGCTCGCGGTCCGCGTCGTCCAAATCACGGATCGGACACGTGAGATGGCGAGGGACGCACTCCGCTTCGGTGTTCATCAGTCATTCACGATCGCTCGTTCTCATTATGAGAACATCGATCTGGCGACGATGAGCCAGGGCTTCGCCCCCGGCTACACCGAGGCCGAGCTAGAGGAGATCGAGAGGTCAGTGGCTCCCCTAGCGCAGGACTTATCTGCCAAGATTGAAGACGAGGTCGTCCTCCCAAGGGAGTTAGTTAGTTAGTTAGGCCAAGTAGTGATCTTGTAATAAATGGACATATTTTAATTTCTGCTATGGTTGAATAATCTTTTGGTTCTTTGCCCTTTTTATGAAAAGGTTAATGTGTTCCGACCCTTTCATTGGTTTAAGGCTATAAAGCTCGGGGTGTTGGCGAAAAAAACTCTAATCACGCTGGTGAGCAAAAATGCCGTAGCCGCTGGGGCGTAGGTTTCTTGCAGTCCAACCAGTTTTACTTAGCGCTTATTTCCACGGCCTTTGCTTTAGGTCTTAATGTAGGAGAGGGTCGGGCGTAGAGAATGTTTTTAGGTAGATATACCCCCATCAGCCCCCGAGTGAGCCCCACCCCTTGCCGTTGCTGGGGTCGGGTGTCACTGAAGATCGAGGAGACATGATGGAAAAACCAAATAAAAAATGTACTCGCATTTCGGAAACATTGTTCTTAAATTTTGCAAGTACATGTGTAGGATAGGGGTAAAAGCGACATAGCTGTTCAATGTTCCAAGCGTTGGCGAAGACTCTACCGTCAATGGTCTTGAGCTTGTACGTTCCCGGTCGGAGCACCTCCGTGATGATGTATGGTCCTTCCCACGGCGGAGAGAGCTTGTGGCGGTTCTTGTTGCTCTATGAAAGCATCTAGGCCCCTAGTTGGATTTCGGTGATTGATGTCAATACAAGATTACTATGACTAACGTGTGTTTTGTAGAGGCAATTAAGTTAGGTCATGGTAATGGAGATCGATTGGGCAATTGAGGTTGTCA